GGAGTCGTGAGAAGTAAAAGTGTCGAGTTTTATTCGATTGACAGAATCTATGGGTGAGTTTGACACCATTAGATCTAGTTGGAGTCTTGGAGAAGATGAGAAGGGCACATGCAAAGTTACAGATATTGAATGCCATAGACAGACTAGATAAAGATGTCAAGGAGAATGTAATGTCACACAACTGATAAGTCATCATCAGTGGCAACATTTATAATGAGTTATGAGTGAAGTCTAGTCTTGTAAATCGGAGGAATAATCATTCAAAATCCACTTTGTGGCTTTACGTTGTACCCCCTCTAGAAGCAATATGTCCCTTCTAAGATGTGGCCTCCAGACTGAAGAACAGTATGTAAGTTGGGAGAGCACAAGAGTGAGATAGAGAGTTTTACGGACAGATATGGAGGTATGAGTGGAAGAGAAAGTACGCCTAATTAGGCCAAGCATTTTATAGGCTTTAGCAACAACAACAACAATAATAATAATAATGAATTAAATTACCATTAATTAATAATAATTATAATTAAATAAAGTAAATTTTGCAGATTTCACAATTATTTGAAGATTTGCAAAAATCAAATTATTACGGTACAAGATGGCAGGTGGCATAAATTTGCAAAAATTAAATCCACAAAATAGATTTTTAGGCAAATTTGTCAAATTTATAGCCTATGGAAGTGTACATTGTATCAGGCCTGATATTGTGTCAGGGCGTGGCAGAGGGGGAATCATGTAATGTAATTATTAATTTATTATGAATTACAACACAACATGAAAATAATGGTATTATCTTAATAGTTTATAAATTAATCATTAATTATTTCAATGATACTGCAATTACTGGACAATAAGGCCAATTAGTATTGTCATTATTATCAAGAGTAGATGATAGTTAGATCATCTACTCTTGTTATTATTTATAATTGTAAAATACTATTAGAATATAAAAATACAATAACCATTTTAATAAACAACAAGTCAGTAATTAATACAATCACAAACATACAAAAATACATCTTTATCAAATGCTAATCCAATAGGATCATTAAACTGATCAATATTGCTGCCTTTACATCCAAACTTGACATTGTGATATGTGTTACTGTGCTACTGTGTATATTAGAATATTCACTGAAAGAAATTGTACTGTGTAATTATAATTGTACCTGTGACCACATTGTTTACATTATTGTTTATACATTCACAGGGTCTTCTAGATTTATCTTTACATGCAATGTTAATTCTGAACTCTTTTAGATTGCTCCATTCTTCTCTCTTCTTATACTAATCTTTATGATTCTAGAACTCTCATATAGCTAGACTATAAATTGAACACTCAGTCTGTCTCTCTCTATTTCTTGTTTACTTCCCACATTCCCCTTCTGTTTTTCCATTTTACTCTCTCTGTTTTCAAATTATTGGTTCTGATTAAAGATAGACTATTTAGTAAGCTGTTAAGTCATCAACTTTATCTACATAAACTCATCATAATGAAGCAGAAAACTTTATGTCAAAGATAAATTTGGCGCATACGCAAACAATAATATAAATCTTGCTAACAAAATAATACATATAATGTCATTTAGCACTGTGATGTGCATTATTACTTCAATAGTTAAGAAACACTACTGGCAAAAATTTGTGTGGTTGTGCATATCATGGCAGAGGGTGGAGTCATGTAACGTGATTATTGTGAATTAAAACACAACATATACCGTATTTTACCGATTAAACGCCCGGGCGTTTATTTCTTAGTAGCAAAAAAATTTATTGAAAAACATTAAAAAGTGACCCTGAGCAGGAATCGAGCCCCCAACTCCAGGCAAGCTAAACCACGCTCTAACTTTTAGGCACTTTGGAGCTATCTAAACAGTGGGGCATTATTTTTGGTAGAAATATGCGTATCTATAGCTAGAATATATTAGTGACAGGCATTTATTTGGACCAGGCGTTTATACAATAAAATACGGTACTTAAAAACAATGTCATTGTTTTAATAGATTATAAATTATTTATTCATTTCAATAACACAGCAATCACTGAGCATCCTGGTCCGCTTAGTATTGTAATTAACAGTTATATTTGTCAGGTAATATTAGAATATGAAAAATAAAGAATAATCATTTTAATAAACAACAAGTCGGTAATTCCAAATATCACAAACATACAAGAATCCATCTTTATCAAATGCTATTTCATAAGGATGATTAAACTCATCAATATTACAGCCACACCTTCCAAACTTCCTAACAAACGTACCATCACTAGTGAAGACTGATATACGATTATTGACTTCTTCACTAACATACACTAGACCAGTAGCTGCAGTGTCTATTGTTATACCAAATGGATTATCAAACTGTCCAGGACCAGAACCTATAGTACCAAACTGACACACAAACTTTCCATCTGGTGAGAACTTCTGAATGCGATAATTCCAACAATCAGTAACATACACTAATCCTTGACTGTCGGTAGCAATGTCATATGGATGACAAAACTGTCCATTAGCTGATCCTTGACTACCAAATGAATGCGAGAAGGTTAGATCAGGATTCAAAACTTGTATACGATCATTACCATTATCAGCAATATAAACGTGTCCTGTTATAGGAGAAATGGCTATACCACAAGGAGTATTGAATTGCAGTGGTCCCCCGCCCTTCTCACCAACTGATGCTATAAGGTATCCATCCATGCTTATCTTCTGGATCCTGTGATTATCAGATACAAGAATGAATTGGTCTGGAGTAATGGCTACACCACGAAGACATAAAAACTTAACATTACCACTTCCTCCTTCCCCTCCTAATGATTTCACTTTCTTTCCTTCTCTATCCAGTATTGTTACACAGTTACCATTACGCTCAGTTATTATAACAAGATTATCATCACTTACAGCAACTCCCCAGGGACAATTAAACTCAGTTATAGTACGTATTGGAATGATGTTATCAAGGTAAGGATTGAAAGGGATGACTAGTGAGATATCCTCAAGGTGTACATCATATACTTGTACTTTTACTGTATGAGTACCACGTGTTGAAGGGTTACACTGTATCCTATACACTCCAGGATCAGTGCTGGTGGTAGTGACTGTAGTGTCAATGGGTTGATCACCTTTACCAACTGGTACTAGACTACACCTCAGAGAAGAGAGGGGAACACACAAAAGACATGAATCTGATGCCTCCATTGATAGTGAAAACAAAGCTTCTTTGCTAATACCATCAATCTTCTTTACTCTACACTGCTGTAGTGCAGTAGTCCCTGAAATAATATCTCCAATGTGATGTAGCGATTTGACATCTCTACTCAATAAAAAGTCAGCCTTTTCCTTTGGATGTAACTCCTCCAAATTGATCCCTGCAGTAACTTCACTCATACGCTCCATCATCTGTGTCTTAAACCTCAGGACTTGTTGAGGACTGCCTGTCTTCAGACTCTGTTCCACATAATCCTGGACATCCTCCAGAAGACTCAAATTCATTTCTGCCGATTTCATTTGCTCTGACAGCACCTTTAGTTTATCATCAGTGACCCTCTTTGCCTGCTCAGTCAGTTTCCTCTCTGACTGACGAAGAACAGCAATCATTTCCTCTACCATTTTATGTATTTCTTCTAAGACTCCTTCTCCTCTCTCTCTGATCTCACCCTCTCTCTCTGCTAGAGCAGACAGGACCTCCTTGAGTGCTTCCTTCTTTCCTTCAACTGGTGACAGACATTCTCTTAACTTTTGAGAGTGTTTAGGATAACAATCAGCAATTAAGTTGTATTCATGATGTCTGTGATTACGAGCTAAGCAGTGAGAACAGATTACTGCATCACATGTTTCACAAAAGAACTCAAATGGCTTTCCATGATCACTACATGTGACCTCTCGAGGATTTGACAAATCTGCTGTCTTCTTTGTTAGACTGTACATCTCTTTGAGGTTGTTGAGAGTGAATGCTACAGGAAAGGCTCCTACTCCTTCTTCTGGTAACTCTGTACGATGATAACAAGTGGGACAAGAGAGGTAACAGGTCTCATTCTTCTTATCCAGAGGTAATCCCTCCAGACAGTGCTCACAGAATGAGTGATGGCAGGGTAGGATCTTAGGGTTGGTATAGTGTTCAAGACACACAGGACAGGTGAGCCGCTCCTCCAATTCGAGCCTGAGACCAGAAGATGGTTTGGTTGCCATTTCAAGATTAGAATAAAATTGTCTACGTAAAGCAAAAATGAAAAGAGATAAAGGTAGAAGATAGTAAATGAAGACAGAGCAAGAACAAACGACAAGAAAATGAAGAAGTTGGAATGAACAAGAAAGAGAGTATAGCCTGGGGAATGACAGCCCTGACCTCTTGGAATATTCTAAAGTCTCGTGACTACAGGAAGTTATGATAGTACAGTCCTTTATGATAACCAATAGTAAAGGTGAATTTACATTAATGAATTAATGAACAAGAGTGAAAAAACACAAGGTGCAGTTTGCAAGCTATTAGCAAAAGATTTTTGAAGTGTAACTTAACTCACATTTTTTGCTTGCAAATGATTTTTTAAATTGTGATCTTCTTAAATATTAAACCCACCAATCATTTAATGGACGTGTACACAAAATTTGCTAAATTAAAAACTACCACTTACAAATTTTACAGCAAAAATTTCAAAATAAAGTGATGTAAGGTATTATACAGTAAGAACTGGATAGTCTTGAAGGATCCACATTTGATGATCATCACATTCATAGAGTGGCCTATCATATACATGTATTACTGACGGCAATGGATACATGTATATGTACGTTAACAATAATTAATAAATACATGTACAATGTACAGTACATGTACAAAAATTATTAAAAGAATGTAAAATACTAATAAGATCTGCCCACTCACCACAACCTGACTTAAATGTACATGCATACAACCTTACATATAATTCACTATAAATGAATTGATAATATATTTAATTAATAATAATAATAAATTTATAATAATTAAAATCATGTACATGTACAGGTTTAGTTGAGTAACATCTAAGTTTATTCCTATTTTCTTGTCATTGTTTCAAAAAGGATGAATGACATTTGAAATTATAAAACTAACTTTTAATGTGAATGTAGAGTATCCAACCAAAATGAAACAACTGACTAGAAGTACAGGGATGAGACCGTCATAACGTTTAAAAATTAAGTGAGAATCGGCTCAAACATTCTACACTGATATCATTTCTCTCTCCATTGGTTCAGAATTATCCACCAGCTGTGATAATTAACCTGACGTAAAAGCTAAAGAATGAAGGAGGGAGAGAGAAAAAAGTTAAATAAAATTACAAAATTAATGCAGTATTAAAATAAATATATGGTGTATGTGTATGTGTACATGTACCATATTTGCCTGATTAGAAGCCCAGCTTAAATACATGTAAATGCCCATCCTTAAAATATTCTCACTATAGATGCGGATATTTTACCCAATAATTTACATGTACATGTAGAAAGCCTCAACTAACTCTTGAGCTACAGTCTCATGTCCTAGGGGACATGGGTTCAATCCCTGCTTTTGGCAACTTTTTTTCTTTTTACACAATTTTCCCCCTGTTAATGAATAAAAGCCTGGGCTTCTAATCATGCAAATACGGTAGATGGTTAAATGTAGAACACAGATCGAGGTACAAAAGTACATGTACATGTAATGACTTAAAATGACACATTGCAAGTACAAATACAATGTACATATATATAAATTATAAAGCTATGATCGTCACTACAAATGTACACATTATCCAATGTACATTATTTGCAAATATATGCAAGTATATGAAATTACAAAGTACATATTCACTTACCAAGTTGGTATAATATAGAAGTACACATGTAGCAAAGTCAATAAGTGACCGGTTTTGCTGCTGTATAAGACATGACAGATGTCAGTCAAATTCTGCACAGAATTAAGAGATGGTTCAACATGTACTTCCATATCAATACCGTATAGCGGGTTTTTTTGAGGATAACAAATTTTGCGAATTTCGCGGATTTTTTCATGATTCGTGAAATTAAATTCCTTGAAAATCAATTTAATACGGTACAAGATGGCAGATTAGTGAAAATTCGCGAAAATTAATTCCGCAAACTTCCGGATATGGGTCATTCGCGAAATTTATTATCCTCGAAAAAACCTGCTATACGGTAATAACCATAAGATTACACACCTTATTATAATCAGGCACACCCATGAATGTTCTCTTGATATCCTTCCTTGTTTGGTATTAGCTGGACAGCAAAAAGCTCATTAGTGACACTTAAAAAATTATCAGCAACGACATCAGTTATGTAGTTTACTAGAATGAGTCTACCGTAAATGTTCAAATAAAAGCCCGGATGTTTATTTCTTTGCAGGACAAAAAAATTGCGTAAAAAAAAATAAAGGGGGATTTGAACTTGGGACTCCAAGTTTATTGAACTGAGCTTAACAAGTTATTAGTTTAACAAGTTAGACCATTTGGGACACTCTAAAGTCTATGGTACCTATATTGAGTAGAATATGCGTAAATATACATGTACTTGGAGATTATTAGTACCAGGCGTTTATTCAAGCCCGATTTTTATTTGAACATTTACAGTATAATAATGCCTATACAAATATAGATTAATAGCAGTCATTGCATATGGAGCCTACTTACATAGCTGCTATGGGCCCAGGATTGAGCTCAACATCTCTTGATAAAAGGAGAACTTCATGAGCAAACTCCATATGCAGGTCCATGAACTTGCTGGGAGCTCAAAACACTATAGAGCTGGATTCAGGTCTGCATGAAGTATTACTGTGTAATTCTAAAGAACTGATGATAACAGTACATGAATCTGTACTAATTTGATCATTACAGCAAAAACCAAGATCAGCATTGATACACAAAGAAAGGCAATCAGAAATGAGTCAAATATTGAATTCTCTCCTAATGTAGTACTGCCTGACTTGCTGTCTACTGCAGCTTTGAATGAGTGAGAGTGGCGGCCATTAGCTGGTCTACTGGAGGCAGCTTGACAGTAGTTCCACAGCCCAATACTATAAAAACATTAATCATATTTTAAAACTAAAAGGTTAAAAAATAGGTCGTGTCATGTTTATAGTTAGAATGAAATCATACAACATCATAACAACACTAGTGTGCTGTTTATAATATATACAAAATTAAGGGTGATTACAGAGCCAGTTATCTGAAAAATAGCCTGGGCTATAACAGGGTACTTCTTGAAATTTGGCCAATTTATTAAAATGACCATAACTCAAAAAGTGACATGTCCAGAAATGAGTGAACACGGAGTAGTATACTGAGCAATTATCTCCGTATACCACTGATTGACTTTATACAGGGCAGGAATGGACATTTCCATTTACTAGGCTATATCTTTCTTTACAATAAGAATCATCAATTTGCGCACTTCAGTAGCTGTTCTTCATCCATCTACCTGTGTTCCTGCTAAATATTACAGCATTTGGAGTAACTTTGTGTGGAACATTTACCAATTGAAGATGAGGCAGTCAGTGCCGCCATCTTGTCATTCCTTTATGTATGTATGATAATTTTTTTACTTTTTGAATGGTTACATCTAAATTTCAAACAATTTTTGACAATTTGCTCACTTATTTTGTGAAAGTACAAAATTCTTACTACCCAATGATGCAAAAAAGATAAAGAAATTCAAAACTTTGTTTGGAACATTTGTCTCCTGAAGGTGAAGTAATTTCAGTTAGCCATTTTAATGATGACGGGTGCAGCAGCAAGAGTCAACAAGTCACAAGTGCTTTCCTCTTCTCTTAGGAATAATAAAGTGAAAGAAAGAGTGCTTAACATCTTATATATACAAGCAAATAGTGTCTCTAGACCTTTTTGAAGTAAGACGGCCGTTTGTTGAGAAGAGCCTGTTCTTTCACGACGCTTGCCACTTTAACAAAAGAATATGAGAAAACTACCATAACCAATTGCATTAAGTAGCATTCTAGAAGCCTCAAGTATCTAGTGAAGTCCCATCCATGTACCAGAAAGACGTTAGCAAGCTTTGTAGTGAAGCTAGTAGTGAATCCACCATTGCTGAACTGCCGTTGCTATGGTAATTCCAATGAATATCATTAAATTAACGCGACCGGAAGTCCCATTGCAATTTCTGGACATGAAGCCAAAATCAGCTCAAACTTTTTACATAAAAACATCAATATGTATCAGAAAATGTAATAAAGGTTGGAGGTGATTTTGGGGTCATTTTTAGGAAAAAGCACGGGCTTACAGCCTTGAAAATTTTTTTTAATTGGCCTTTAAAAATGGTTATAGCTTTAAAAAAATTGAAGTTGGAATCAGCCCAAACATTCAAGGACATCATACGTATCAAAATAGTACTGTGTTGTGAGAAATTTTTGTGGCCCAAAACTTGCATGGATCCATTTAAAAATCAATTTCTTGGTTTTAATTTTTGTGGTTTTCTACTTTTCAGTCATTTTGAACCGTATTTAATTGATTTTTTGCGAATTTTATTTTCATGAACTTTGAAAAAACATGAAATCCATCAGTGAAAATTTTGGGCCACAAAAATTTCCCGCTAGCTATATACGGTAATAAAATTGGGGGTTTTGGAGACATTTTTTGAAAAAAGGACAAACAGACTTGCAAGCGAGCCAGAGACCCAGTACAGTTTATAGAAATTGACATACTTTCAAAATAGCTATAACCACCCCTAATATTATGTACTCTTGCTATAACTGACTTTTAGTCTGGCTAGCCAGGCCATTCCCCAGCCTACAGTCATTGGGGTGGACGCCCCCCCAATGACTGTAGGCTGGGGAATGGTCTGGCTAGCGAGACTAGGCTGACTTTAAGGTTACGATTAGCTCAAAAGTAAGAGCACCTTGGGAACCATTACATTAGACTAGTGCAAATTAACTTAATTACATGTGAATAAACACGGTAATTTTTAAATTTAGCTATGACTGACTACTTACAGTAAAAAGTAGTCTGGCGTTGAAACTTTCTGTGACTTTTGTTCCTTGGCCTAGCTCCGTATACGAATACGTATACTCCAAATCCGTGCTATCACGTGGAATATATCACGTGACTTTAAAATTGCAGAAAAAGAGTAGATGAGGAGTAAGCTAAAAGTTAATTTATTTATTCTTACTTTATTTTAGAAGTGCTATTATTCGGAGATACAATTTCATGATGTCATTCAAGCCTAACAGAGAATTATTGAATCCTAATTTCAACGGGTACAAGCTAGCTGACCACTCCCTACCGTTGCTATGGGAAACCTTTACCGGCGGAGTACACAAGATAAGCAACGCTCATTCTGACTCATTCTTCTCATATCAACACGTCCGACAAGCAACAATGAACAATAGTTTGACCTTTGACCCCTGGAATGACTCACATGTGTACTGGACTACTGCTAATACACACAATATAATGTGTGGATATCTATCAGTAAGTATTTAATATTAGTACATCAATGTACATGTACTTATTGATTAATGGGATCACCTTTACTAATTCAAACAGCCTAATTAAGAGATTAGCTTGTACATGTACATTTCTACACTTTAGTAATAATTACATTCAATTCCTTCATTAACACTTGTGTCTTTTGTTAACTTCATGTATTTAATGATATGTATAGCCATGGCTGTGTATCAGCTTTGAGATGATTCCAATCAAATTTGGATTTTTTGATGAATTTTTAAAGTTGCTTCAAAATTAGTCTAAAGCCAAATCTTCTCAAAAATGGCTAGGAGAAAAATTTTGATACATATGCATGTCCTTATGTTGTTCAACTTTGAGATGATTCAAATCTGGATTTTTTTAAAAAGTTACTTTAATTCTACCATGCCTAGTTGCAATTGACCAATCAGATTGCTTGATTTTAGGTTCATAAATAACTTATTTACCACTATAGGGAACTTCATTTTTTAATTAGAAAGAAATAATTTTTTATAATTTAATGATTTACTAATTAATTATTGTAGGCATCAGGTAATGAATTATTACTATTGCCAGTTCACCATAGCAATTAGTCATCATCGAACCCTTCTACCACTAACTCAAGTCTCATCTTTCTCTCTAAAAACCAGGCCCTCTTTTATGAGCCGTCATACGATGACGGTAATTGCTTATTATTCTATACTGGGGATTGTACTGATATTAATTTCTGGAGTATAATATCAAGAACCAAGCTGATTATTAGTAATTAACTATGCAATCAGCATCATTGATTGAAGGGGGTAACACTATCGACTTTATGACGTTCCAATTAAAAGATACATCCACAAAATACTGCACTTGCATCTGGTGGAGGGTGTGTCTCTCCAATCGTCTCAGGTCCGGTAATATTGAAGTTGTTTCCCAGACCCAGCTGTGTAGATTCAAAGCGACTACTGTACCATTATACAGTGAATATATCAATGAATGCTTACTGTTGGTATCAGAATCAGTATCAGGAACAGAAAGAGAAGGGAAGGAGGTGACTAAAGACAAGGAAAGTGATGGGAACACCAATCAAAATACAATGTAGTATAATAGAGGGACTGCTAATACCAGCTGGAATCAATCAAGCAGTGATATCAATATTAGTATAATGATACCAGAAGATGTTAATAAATCAGATATAGTATGTATAATGGAGAGTACCAGTACAATGTTGGTTTAAGTGATGGTACAACATACATTAGAGGAGATTTATTATACACTATTGATGAATGTACTAGCACCTGGACCTACTCAAAAGGAAAGTAAGTGATTTTTAGTGTTTATTTATTTATTATATTTTTAATTTATTATTATTTATTTATTTATTTATTGTACATTATTTGTTTATTATAATGATTATTTGTTATTTTTTATTCATTTTTGTTTTTGTTTGTTTTTTAGTATTATCTATTAATTAATATCAAACATAATTATTTTTTATTTTCATAGACTGGATATTATGCTGGAAAAGATTGCTGATGGTGTTGAATGGAGTTCATTATTTAAAGATGGTTCGTTACCACCATTAGATGATGAATCAAAAGAAATGAAGAGAAAAAGAGTAAGGGAACCTAAAATAATGATACATGAAAATATGTCAAATGAGCAATGAACTAATTATAATGCAGTTACATGTTAATAATGTACAGCGTACATGCAACATAAGTAATATATACATTTATCAGAATATGTAATAAGATTGAAGAATTCTTTCCTTTTAAATTTTGCACATGTACAGTGTACATGATATGTACACATGTGTGTCACTTCAGATCCTGATATTACCATCTTCAGACATCGTTCCTGAAGACATTGCTGAATTTGATCTGAGACTATCATTCGCCATCATTAGAGCTACCAATCATTTCTGCTGACAGTGTAAAAAGTGACTTATGAAAATAATCGTGTTCCAATATTAACCGAAAAAAAATAATAAAATAAAATCAAGTACCTGGAACTAAAAACAAGGTTTCCTTTCAAAGTATAAGTACATGTACATGTAATATGAGACTATAATTGACAAAAGGGACCTGATGGCGGATAATAAATTCATCTTTATAGCAGACAAAATCCAACTTTCTGTGCTCCAAAGATAAAGAAATTTTTGAAAAGGACGCAAAAGGTTACTATGTAACTTTTGCAAACAACTTGTTTAAGAAAACACTCACAAGTTGATATTTTTTATTATATTGATGAATTTAGTAATCCACCATAATGTACATGACTTGTACCTTTTGTCAATTATAGTCACATATAATTATAATAAGTTACATTAGCCTGTCACATGATCACTGACTTGTATTGACATCTGCTTGTTGGTTGAGAGTTTTTGTTTCTTTTCCTCATCAATGATAATTAACGTTAATCACTTATAATATAATGATTGAGTGAGCTGGAGACAAACAAGAGTAAAATTATCAGATTGAAATAAACCCTATAAAATAAAAAATTTAACTTGCACACGTGTAATGTACATGTATGTTATGCACATGTGTCAATAATACATGTATATGTATTAATCAAAAATTCTTCGAATATTAATCAAAAATTCTTCGAAAATTACTCCCTCCTGATCATTATAAATTATTTTAAAAGCCTCTCTCCCCCAGGGAAAAATACCCATTATAATATACATGTAACATGTACATGTACAATATGTGATGTGTGTACATGTACATGTACTCACTGATTTAAAAGATGATAAAAATGAACTACTCATAAGATCAACATGACACATAATACTCTTAATGGGATCAGATATACAGGAACTAATGGAATGAGAGAGAGAAAGGGTTGATTGGTAAATATATTAAATTTAATAAACTATTAATATACTTGCAAGTGTTATAGATGATGTCAGTTGGTTCTGGTTGTGATTCTTCTAATAATAAATGTAACTGTATCACTGATTGATTAGTATCTGATAGTGGAGTTAACCTACACACAATAATGGAGGGGAATCACCAACCTGCTAATACCTTATAGTGCAAATTTTTAGGGCCATAAATTTCGCAAATTTGCCTAAAAATCTATTTTGCGGATTTAATTTTCACAAATTTATGCCATCTGCCATCTTTTACCACAATTATTTGATTTTTTGGAAGCAATTTCTGCATATCTTTATAAAATCACAAAATGCGCAAAATTTACAGCCCTCAAAAATTTTGCGCTATATGGTATAATAAATTATAAATTATGTATTGTACATTTACATGTAAAGTCTTAGTCATTTTGTCCTGGTTTATTCTAATCTGTTTTTATTAGAAAACTAAGACTTTTTGTGACAGAAATGTGGCTTAGCCACTTCCCTCTCCTTCCTTCTGTCTTAGATGGCCAGATCTAACTTTTTTGTTTGTTTTTTTAGCTAGTTTTTTTTCTCTTATTTCTTCATGTTTCCTTTTTGTTTTTCTGTTGTCTCCTCTGGGTTCTCTCTCTTTCCCCTATTTTCTTGTTCTGGTCTTTGTTTTTGTACATGTTCTTTATTTTTACTTATAATAATAATAATAATCATAATAATAATAATAATAAATAATAATAATAATAATAATAATAATAATAATAGGAGCTAACCACTTCACCTAACCAAATATGGTACGCAGATGATGCCTCTGTCACCGGTGAGTTACCACACATACGTCAGTGGTTTGACAATTTATTATTGCATGGCCCCAAGTTTGGTTATTATCCAGAGCCTCACAAGAGTTGTCTTGTAGTGAAGGAGTCTATGATTCCTCAGGCTAAAGATCAATTTAGCGACCTAGGTATTAAGATCACAACTAGTTATCGTTTTCTGGGAGGAGTGGTTGGTGACTCTAGTGGATGTGATACATTTGTCAATGACAAGGTGCAGGGCTGGATCTCTCTGATAGACACCTTGTCTGACATTGCTGTCTCACAGCCACAAGCTGTTTATGCAGCTTATACTAAATCACTTCAGAACGACTGGATTTTTTTACAGCGTGTGACTCCTAATTGTCAGTCACTATATGTTGCTCTGGAGACTACTATCTCTAACTCACTCATTCCTGCCTTATTTGGACAGGAATGTTCCGCAAATGACAGATCTCTATTCTCTCTACCACTCAAACTAGGAGGTCTGAATATTAGAAATCCAGTCACTACAGCCACAGCTCACTACACTGCCTCTAGATCAGCCACTGAAATATTGATCAATGCAATTACTGGTAGTACCTCCTTCTCACCCTATGATCATGTGTGTCAAGTATTGGCTGCAAGACAACATCATTCACTATCTCAAAGGGAAGCAGACAATACTCTCTTTACCAACACCCTCACTCAACTGGACGCTAACTATCAGAGGACTATTACACGGGCTAGGGACAGTCTCTCTTCATGGCTCAATGTCCTTCCTACTGTGCAGGACAATTTTGATCTATCCCCCAATGAGTTTAGGGACGCCCTATGTCTAAGATATGCCAAACCTTTGTTAAACCTACCTCACTCCTGTGACGGCTGTGGCTCACCCTTCACAACATCCCATGCCTTAGACTGCAAGAAAGGTGGTCTTGTTACTTTATGTCATAACAAGATAAGGGATGTACTACATGATGTATCTTCTATGGCATGGAGTCAAGTCATTAAGGAACCTATTGTTAGAGAGGCACAGAGTGATTCAGAGGCTCTGGTTGGTGACATATCCATCCGTGGAGTTTGGCAGTCCCAGTCTACCTGTATATTTGACGTGAGGGTAGTGGACTCTGATGCTCCTTCTTATGTTAGGAAACCACCGCTACAAGTTCTTAAAACTGCTGAAAGAGAGAAGTTAAAGTATCAGGAAGCTTGTCACTCTATCCACTCTAACTTCACTCCACTCTGTATGACAGTAGATGGTCTGTTGGGTCCAGAATCTAATTCCTTCTTGAAACGTTTGGCTGACAGACTATCCATTAAATGGGATCAACCCTACAGTACTGTCATCTGTTGGCTTCGTACCTGTCTATCCTTTGCTCTATTACGTGCCACCAATTTGTGTATCAGTGGCACCAGGTCGAAAATTCATTCTATCAACACGGAGGATGGAGCTGGGATAACTCTTAACTATATGTACTAATTTTAAATATTTGAAATATTTCTATACATCTTTTTCTGACTTTCCCTCAAACTACATATATATATATATATTCATTCTAACTTGCTCTCTCCTTATCTGTATTTTTGATAGTGATAATAATAATAATAATAATAATAATAAATAATAATAATAATAAATAATA